AGAATCCAATTAGATATCTTTCATATTCAAAGTCCTATAACAACAAGTCCATCAAGCCATCTTTCATATTCAAAGTCATATAACAACAAGTCCATCAAGCCATCTTTCATATTCAAAGTCATATAACAACAAGTCCATCACGCCATCTTTCATATTCAAAGTCATATAACAACAAGTCCCTCAAGCTATCTTTCATGCCTAAACTCATATAACAAGTCCATCAAGGAATCTTTCACATCTAAAGTTGTATGACAAGTCCATCAAGCAATCTTTTATATATAAAGTCTTATAACAACAAGTCCATCAAGGAAGCTTTCACATCTAATGTCATATAACAACAAGTCCATCAAGGAATCTTTCACATCTAAAGTCATATAAAAACAAGTCCATCAAGCCATCTTTCATATATAGTCATTTAACAACAAATCCATCAAGCCATCTTTCATGCCTAAACTCATATAACAGTCCATCAAGGCATTTTTCACATCTAAAGTCGTATAACAAGTCCATCAAGCCATCTTTCATATCTAAAGTCGTATAACAAGTCCATCAAGCCATCTTTCACATCTAAAGTCGTATAACAACAAGTCCATCAAGCCATCTTTCATGCCTAAACTCATATAACAAGTCCATCAAGCCATCTTTCATATCTAAAGACATATAACAACAAGTCCATCAAACCATCTTTCATATATAAAGTCATATAATGCTTCAATGGATGTGACTTCAATTTGTGACAGATGAAAGAACTAATATATTTGAGCAATGAAAACAAGATACAAGAACAAATCTGATTAATCATTGGTGAACAGTAAACAAAAATTAACCAATCCTTTAATCAAAACACTATTTTAAATGATAGTTTAACTGACTAAAATCATTTAAGGACAAATGAGGGAAAAATATACATACCTGATTCTCATGACATGGACCTTGGCAGTATTCAGTCAGAGTTTCAAGCGTTTGGTTCACTAGGCTCACATTGTATTCATTGATGTAAAGTCCAAGAAGTCCAAGTCCACCAGTTGTACTTCCACATATACAATCCAGAAACATCAGTGATTCCGATACAAGATTACAATTATTCTTGTTACTTTGGTGCCGCAGGTAGTTCTATGTATTAGTAATAGCACAAAATAATTATTGTTGTAGCTTTTGGTTCACAAGTAATTTTAAAAATTAAAAATTACACTCATGTTTGTATATGCAATTAGTACCTTGAGGGAAAGTAAAAGTACATTAAACAACATAAATTCTTCTTATGACTAGGTACTTAATTTTAAGCACGTACAGTGTAACAATTTCTAACACTATATACGTAAATAGTTGGGAAGCTTAGCTTTAACATCAAACTACTCTTTAGTCAACCACTATAATCTAAACTAAATAAAAATTAAGAGTAAAATTGATGAAGTGTGTGTATTTTCACACATATACATGTGTATTTAGTTCCAAAGTCATAACTAAGTCTGTAGAAAGGAAAGCATTTTTTAAATCTCTAATAAGGATGTGATCTAAAGGGAATGAAATAAAGCATAAACTATTACACATAACAAAAGGAAAAATTTTTTATCAACCTTCTAATGCCACAATGTTTCCCAACTCAAGACCCACTTGAGTGTAGCAATGTAATTTTCCAGGACCCAGACTCAGTTGGAGGTATACTGTTCTAATAAATTTCAGTAGTCTGGTAGTGATCTTATATTTTGTGCTTTTATTTGTTTGGAAATGTTTTAAGGTTATCATTTTATAAATAATGTTAAATAAAAATATATTTATCACTACAGAAAAAAACCTATGCACAATTTGGCAACAGGTTTAGTTTACATCATAAAAAACTGAAAACACTATTTACAAAAATTAAAACTTATGAAAATACATCACCTGAAGTTCAGCATTGTGGTTCTCACATAAAAGTTGTAAAAATCTTAATATTGGTTCCATTACTGCAACTTCTGGGGGAAGTCTGCTTTCTTCTTTTGCCTTCTCAGCTTTTTCAGCCAATATTTCTTCCAAGGCAGCATAAGTGTGAGGAGCTAATAATAATAAAGTAGGTTTAATAAAGATAGAAATAAAATTTGAGAAACCTTTAATATCAATAACATCTACCTCTATAACTTAATACTGCAGGTTTTATACCTTAAATGTGTACCTTTCTCTCTCCTCACTAATACAGCACCTTATTAATAGTTGAGAAACTATGTATAGACCGTGCATATGTAACAGACACACATACACACATGTCCCTCAGAGGGACACTGATAAGTCTTTGGATTTACAATGCTAAAATCAGGGGTTGAGTTCACCTTGGTGGACACAGCAGACAACTCGATGCTATAAGAAAACAAACACACACACACACACATATATATATTTCCCTCAGTGTTTAAACTAACTTAACTGATGGGACCTACTTCCTACTAACCTGGTCCTGATGCCATGAGATCTTGGTCTGGGGAACTAGTGGCTGAGCAACCAAGCTGACGAACTTGTGCATATGCTTTACTTGTAGCTGCTGCTGCATCTTCAAGTTGTTCCTTTAAATCTTGAGTCAATACAACACTGTTCTGTTTGAAAGCTATGACAAAAAAACATCAAAAACACCACCACTTGTTTTTAAGTCGAATAGAAACTTTGAGATTTGATACTATTACACGTAGTGTGATTTTATTGTATTACAAAACATAATATTTTTAAACTCCTCATACCAGAGAACGTCAAAGAAAGACATGACTAGCATGACACTTCTAAATGCTTTCCTCATCACAACACACACAAGCATGTGCATTAAATATGCAAGGATAGAAACAGCCTTATGAATCTAAGATACACAGTAACAGAGTCTGACAGCTAAGATTAATCTTTAATAATATCTTTGAAATAAAATTAAATAACAGCGTAGAAACTGTAGACTAAGTCTTATATTACTTTGATAATACAAAGTTACTGCTACTTCCGAAGATATAAAAACAAAACAACTGATGCAATGAATAATATTTATTAACACAAACGTTTTGGATTGCACTGTGTGTTCTACTATAAAATAATAAAGATAAGCATAGCACAAGGATATATATATGCACACAATGACTTCAGTGTTAACACAATAAGAAATTGGCAAATAATATTAATAAAAACATTAAGCTTATGTAAAATTAATAGGCTGAAAGAATAAACTTAAAAGTATAAAGCTAACAGATAATAAGGCAGGGCCAGATAAGGTAATTTTAGTTGTAAGGAGTTCAGATTGTTGTTAGGAGCTGGTTAATTTTTTTTATTGATTAAGATACTTCCTATGATGAGAAGGTAGAGGTCTGATTTTACCAGTTGGTAAGATTTTAAATTGCTTTGAATTAATATTGTGATTAGCATCCTTGTAATTATGGCATCCAAAATTGCAAACTGGATTTTTCATAACAATATTAATTTAAACCAATTTAAAATCTTAGCCACTGGTACATCAGACCTATAAATTCTCTTCAGAGAAAGTAGCTTAATCGAGAGGAATTGACTTTTTCTTAACATTCTGAATTCCCTAAAAGTAAAATTATTTTAACCCAGCCTGCCTTGTTACCTTTTAGTTCTGTCCCCCGAATTCTTTCTTTCAGCATATTAATTTTACATGCATCTTTTAGGTCAGTGGTACATAAACTTGTTTTATGCCTCCCCTCCTCCCTGCACCTCAGATAACCTCTTTCCATATATACTCTACATATTATTTTGCTATGTTAATTGTTATTATATTACTCGATAGTAGTAATATTTTCATGGTAGTTTTTAAAACTTCTTCATTTTTAAATTAGTACTTTCAGATATCATGTATATGCTCCTCTAGTCATAGCTGTGCACTCTCCTGACTGACTCTCCATCACCCCCTTAAGTCTGAGCCCCATAATTTAGCACCATGATTTTAGATTACCTTTGCAAGAAGCATTGAATTTCTGAATCATTTTTTGGGGGGTGAGGACCACAGTGGCCAGAACATTTCATTTTAATAATAAAGCTTTTCAGATTTCAAATTTATTAATATATGCCTACTTTTAATAGTTGCACACTAAGAAAAGCATAAGTTACTGAGGGTAATTTTTAAAATCACTGTTGAAAAAAAAAACTATTTGCATTGAAACATTAAAGCTTATCTTCAATATTTGTAAGTACAAGTTAAATTTTTCTTTGCATGGTATCCTTTGATGGCCATAATATAAAAGCTTTATACTTATGTGTGTGTGTATAGAAATCAACTTGGTCAAGCATATTGTGAAGAAAAAACATCTACAAACTAAAACCTAATTTGTTCCATCTTACAGTACTTAACACGTCTGCTGCCCAACTGCTGGGTTGTAACTGACTTTGTTATGGACTGCATGACACATCAGTGGGTCATGTATGACAAGTGGCTTCAATGAGGTAATTAAACAAAGTATAGTTACCAATATAAATATTAGACACTGAGGTTAATAAAAAAAAAGTGTAGTTGGCACTCGGGTAGGAATTATTAATACTACTGGTGGCAGCGAACGTGTTAATGTACTAACAATGAACACACTGTAACTGACCAGTAACAAAGTGCAGGTCAGTGCAACTAGTCAATAAAAACAATACTTATTAATTTCATTTCTCACAAGGTGTGATTATTACCTTTCATTTTACGACCATCTTTGCTCACTTCTTTACTCAGACTGTCTCGTTCACTTTCAGAACGAGAAGCTAAGTCTGCCGTGTTGACCGTCACTGTAGACTTTATTTCTTGCTGAGCCTCCTTCATTTTATCAAAAAATACCTTGAAAAACTTCTCCGAGTTATTACCACTGGTAAGTTTCTGGTAAATTGATTTCTACAACCAAAGCAGATCATACAAGGTGGTTACAAAGTAATATCTTTTAATTTTATAATTTCAAAATAATGATAATTTATCCAGTGAATAAAATCAATAAAGGATATGCAGCTTAAACGGCCTTATTCATGTGTATTTGATGTTGCCGTAATGGTGGAAGAAAACAAAACTACTTAAATAATAACCCACAAAAACACTCTGACTCAACAAACATCAGAGGAGTATTGAAACACATCATGTAGTGACTTTTACCCACCCAGCATTTATGATATTATTCTCCTTTAAAGTTAAAAGAGGAGTGTTTAACTTGTCTCGTAACATTCTTGTACGAAATAAGAATTTTAAAACAGATTACAAAGTTCAAAGATTTTGTTAGTATAACTTTTTTAATAAAATATTAAATCAGGTTGCAGGTTTATAATTAATGTATGCACAGTTTTTTTATTTCATCTACAATACGGAATAATAAACTTACTAGACTAGATACATACATCAATAAACTAACATAAACTCATAATCCATAAAAAGTTGTTTATGTTATTTTTCTTCAGGGTTTAGCACAAATAAATTTATTATTTAGTAGTTTTTCTTCTTCTATATCTTGGGTACAAATTATTGGAATTGTTAAAATCATGATGGTGAAGGCCAACACAAGTATTCTTATTCTGTTCTGAGATATGTAAAATTTAACAAAATTAATAAAACTGAAAATGGCAATTATGAACTGGATGATAATCTGTTGATGAGTAGAAATGACTGGAAAAAGAACTGGCTGAAGTACAAAAAAAAAGCCTGGTGTCCCAATATGTTAAATGTTCTCTATAACACTCTGCCTTACCTGGATCACAAGGTTTAAAGTATAACATACATAAACTGGTGTCCCAATATCTTAAACGTTCTCCATCACACTCTCTGCCTTACCTGCATCACAAGGTTTAAGGTATAACGTACAAAAACTGGTGTCCCAATATCTTAAACGTTCTCCATCACACTCTCTGCCTTACCTGGATCACAAGGTTTAAGGTATAACGTACAAAAACTGGTGTCCCAATATCTTAAGCGTTCTCCATCACACTCTCTGCCTTACCTGGATCACAAGGTTTAAGGTATAACGTACAAAAATTGGTGTCCCAATATCTTAAATGTTCTCTTTCATTCTCTCTGCCTTACCTGGATCACAAGGTTTAAGGTATAATGTACAAAAACTGGTGTCCCAATATGTTAAATGTTCTCTTTCATTCTCTCTGCCTTACCTGGATCACAAGGCTTACGGTATAATGTACAAAAACTGGTGCCTCAATATTTTAAACATTTTCTATCACATTCTTTGACTTACCTGGATCACAGAGTTTCCACCTTCAAGTAAAGCTATACCAAGTTCCACACTTTCTAGAAAAATGGAATGGTTTGGATTGACCATAATCAATTCCACTACCAGGTTGGAAGCACCCTCTCTATCTAGGTGGCACTGGACTTCAGCTAGTGTCATCTCAGCACGGCTAAGCAGAACACCACCTGGACCATGTGTGACAACCCCAGTTGATGCAATATTCCTGGCCACTATCGGTTTATTAAGACTAACACGAACTCCACATTTCATGTTAGTTTTGCCAAAGTAACGAATTAAAAGTGTCTGTCTCAGTGCTTCTCCCTAGAAGTAAACATGAAAATATTTTTTTTTGTAATGAATGAAGTGCTTTCAACTTGCACATTTAATTACTGAAAGCAATTTACACGAACTCCACATTTCATGTTAGTTTTGCCAAAGTAACGAATTAAAAGTGTCTGTCTCAGTGCTTCTCCCTAGAAGTAAACATGAAAATATTTTTTTTTGTAATGAATGAAGTGCTTTCAACTTGCACATTTAATTACTGAAAGCAATTTACACGAACTCCACATTTCATGTTAGTTTT